ATGGCGTGATCTCACTTCACAGCAATCTCTGCCTCCCAGGTTCAAGCGATTCTCTTGCCTCAGCCTCCTGAGTAGCTGGGATTATAGGCATGCCCCACCTTGCCCAGCTAATTTTGTATTTTTTGTAGAGATGGGGTTTCTCCATGTTGGTCAGGCTAGTCTCTTAACTCGCGACCTCAGGTGATCTGACCACTTCAGCCTCCCAAAGTGCTGGGATTACAGGTGGGAGCCACCGTGCCTGGCTAGTGCCAGGTCTATTATTATTATTATTTTTAATAGAGATAGGATCTCATTATGTTGCCCAGGCTGGTCTCAAACTCCTGGGCTCCAGGGATCCTCCTGCCTTGGTTTCCCAAAGTGATGGGATTAGAGGCCTGAGTCACCACATCTGGCCTAAATTTACATTTTAAAAAGTCTATTCATCTGGGAGTGGTGGCTCACCTGCCTTTAATTCCAGCACCCTGTGAGGTTGAGAGGAAGTTAGAAGGATCACTTAAGGCCAGGAGGTGGAGACCAGCCTGGACAATATAGCAAGACGTTGTCTCTACCAAAAACAAAACAAGTCTATTCAAAATTAGATCTTGAGGCCAACTGTGGTGGCTCATGGCTGTAACTCCAGCACTTTGAAGGTTGAGGCAGGAGAATTAGTTGAGTCCAGGAGTCCAAGACCAGCCTGGCCAATATAGCAAGACCTCATCTCTACAAAAAAAAAAAAAAAAACTGGGGAAATCAAACACAAACTGGAGGGGCAGGTCCTTTCTCAGAAATACATTTAAAACCACAATGATAGAAAAAAAAAAAAAAAAAGAAGCTGAGCATGGTGGGACACACCTGTAGTCCCAGTTACTTGAGAGGTTGAGATGGGAAGATGGTTTGAGCTGAAGTTGAGATCCCTGCACTCCAGCTTGGGTAACAGAGCGAGACCCTGAAAAAAACAAAGGAAAACAAAACAAAACAAAAGGAAAGACCAAAAAAAAAAAAAACCACTTAAAAAAATTAGATCTCGGCCAGGCCCTATGGCTCACACCTATAATCCCAGCACTTTGGGAGGCTTAGGTGGGCAGATCACTTGAGGTTGGGAGTTCGAGACCAGCCTGGCCAACATGATGAAACCCTGTCTCTACTAAAAATGCAATAATTAGCTGGGCGTGATGGCACATGGCTGTAATCCCAGCTACTCGGGAGGCTGAGGCAGGAGAATCGCTTGAACCCGGGAGGCAGAGATTGCAATGAGCTGAGATTGCGACACTGCACTCGAGCCTGGGCAACAGGGAGAGACTCCGTTTCAAAACAAAACAAAAAACACACAGAACAACAACAAAACCAAAACATCCCAACATATAAAGCTGATAGACTTACAATGAAAGAAAAGAGGATACCACACTACCCTCTTAATCCTCAGTTGGGTTACCCCAACGCCTGTCCCTCAGAGTTCCCGAGGGTCCCTTGACAAAATCCTGGTGATCCCTAGGCTAAGCTAACTCTCTCATTTGGCAAGCAAGGAAGTTGAGGCCCAGAGAGGGGCAGCACGTGGTTTCAAAATCTTCTGACCACGAAGGATCCCCTTAAAGTCTAGGGGTGAAAGTCATTCCCAGCAGTTCCAAAGCTGCCTTCGTTTGGCAAGGCAACAGCCCAGCCCTCAGGACTGGAAACACTGGGCAGACTTTACTGCCTGTTTTTGTTGTTTGTTTGTTTATTTGTTTTTTGTTTTGTTTTTTTTTGAGACAGTGTCTAGTTCTGTTGCCCAGGATGGAGTGCAGTGGCGGGCGCCATCTCAGCTCACTGCAACCTCCACCTCTCAGGTTCAAGCAATTCTCCGTCTCAGTCTCCTGAGTAGCTGGGATTACAGGCGCCCGCCACCACGCCTGGCTAATTTGTTTGTATGTTTAGTAGAGACAGGGTTTCAGCATCTTGGCCAGGTTGGTCTTGAACTCCTGACGTCGTGATGCACCCACCTCAGCCTCCCAAAGTGCTGGGATTACAGGCGTGAGTCACCGCGCCAGGCCTTGTGTGTTTTTTTAACAGGGTCTCACTTTGTCACTCAGGCTGGAGTGCAATGGCGCCATCCCGGCTTGGCTCACTGCAACCTCGACCTCCCGAGTTCAAGCAATCCTCCTGTCTCAGCCCCCCAAGCAGCTGGGACTACAGGCACGCACCACCATGCTGGGCTAATTTTTATACTTTTAGTTAAGATGGGGTTCACCATTTTGCCCAGGTTGGTCTCAAACTCCTGAGCTCAAGCAATCCACCCACCTACCTTGGCCTCCCAAAGTGCTAGGATTACAGACCTACTGCATGTTCTTATTGTTATTACTTGACCATTCCTTAAGGACAGAGTGAAGGAGAAGGAGCAGACATACCACATGCTTCAGAAATTATGAGTGCAGCCAGCTGGGCCCATCCTGGGTCTCCCTCTGGCCATCTGAGAGGATATACCATAGCGAAAATGTGGCAGGGGCCAGTGAGGGAGGGTTAAATATGCTCACATGAACAAAGAGAGCTTTGTGGTCCAGTGTGGATTCTGACCTGACCGCACATGGGGACATGTCAACTTGCTCTCCCTTCTGAGGGAGGAACTCCATGCTGATATGTCAGCTCTGTCCCTGTGCAAGACCCCTACTCCCATCTCACCTTTCTTGGCCACTGTAAGATATACTGCCAGATGAATAGTCATTTCTCTTCTTTCAACTTATTTATTTATTTATTTTGAGATGGAGTCTTGCTCTGTCGCCAGGCTGGAGTGCAATGGCGTGATCTCAGCTCACTGCAACCTCCACCTTCTGGGTTCAAGCGAGTCTCCTACCTCAGCTTCCCGAGTAGCTGGGACTACAGGCGCGTGCCACCACGCCCAGCTAATTTTTGTATTTTTAGTAGAGATGGGGTTCACCACATTGGCCAGGATGGTCTCGATCTCTTGACCTCGTGATCTGCCCACCTCAGCCTTCCAAAGTGTTGGGATTAAAGGGGTGAGCCACCGTACCCAGCCCCACTCTTTTCTCTTTGTAATAGAACAATGTAGACATTTATGAAGCTTTTCCTAGCTTTTCAATGTCAACACAATTAAAGCACAATGCATCTTAACTGCCAGTCCCCCGACCCAGTGCAGAACAAATGGCAGGGGTCCTAAATAAAACGGGTTGGCACTGAGCTGAAGACAAGTGAGGAAGCGAAGCTGGGATTTCTGTAAAAGTGCCCCAGACAAAAACAGTTTGCGTCTAAGGTGGCTAGTTTTCCATAGTGCTTTTTCCAGTCTACCTAAAACTATTTTTATATCCGTCATTTCCTTTATCTTACAGTTTGACTAAAGGCAGGGAGAAAGACAATTAATTCGATTTTTCTGGAGAAACAGAGATCCAGCATTTCTATGTCAAGGGGCATAGGTGGAGTCAAAAAACTATCTTAAAGGCTGATGTCGTCTCATCATCATAAAAATGGTCGTAAGTAGTTGTTTGGCCAAATGTTAAGAGTTCAAATCTTGCCTCTGCCATTTACTAGCCATATGACCTTGGACAAAATACTTGACCTCTGTCGCAGCACCTTCATTTGTAAAGTAGTTCCTGGTTCATAGTCTTATCAAGGAATTGTTTGAGTCACATGTGTAAGAAGCAAAGAACAACACCAGCATATAGTAAGTACTCAATAAATCTGAGTTATTTATGTAGCGGTTTATGGTTTACAAAGCGCTTTCACGTACATTATTATCTCTTGACTAAGATCCAGATCACTTTCAAATCAGGCATTTGGAAAAAAAATTCAGAATACTGGGTAAAATCCAGCATATTTTACTGAACACATCCAAGGAGGCTAATACTAGGTATGGTGTTTCCAGCCTAGTCTTGTCTTTTTGCTCCATACCCCAAAGAGCATTGTGCAAGGTCTCCAGGATATCCCCTTTGCTCTGGGAGAAGCTCCTATCCAGGAAGCATTAATTTTCCCTCATCCTTTATATAGCAGGAAGCAGAATTAATGCACATTGTTGCTTAAGCTCCAGCTGTCTTATCTCCCTGCTTCCAAACACCACTGGCTATTCTTTAGGAAGCCAATTCCTGGCTCAGGGAGTTACACTGTGTCATTTCCCCTGGTAAAACCTTTAGAGGCCTTATAAAGCAACCTCAAAATGCCACTCCATGGGTGCTGGTCACCATCCCTCCCCCATACTCCAACCAGGGACAGGCCCTGACTGACATTTCTGGGAAACCCAGTGTGTGCAAGGTTAGGTTACCACGGTCCATACAAATGAGGAAATTAGGCTGTAGAGAGAAGTAACTTGTCTAAGGCACTGTAGTGGATACAAGTGCTCTAGCTAGGCACTTACCAGCTCTATAATCTTCCCCAACCTCTCTGAGCTGAGTTTTCTCATCTATAAAACTGGGATAATGATTAAATACACTCCTAGGGTCAGTGTAAAAATTCAGTGAGTTAATTCATTTATTACAATCAGCACAATGACAGGCACATACAAGAGCCCAATAAATGTTAGGTTTTATTATTACTATTATTACCCAAAAAAGACTATCGGTTATGGTTTACTCATTGCCTCTTTCATTATAGCAAGTGGGACCCTTGTCCCTGACTGAAGACAATGACTTTGTTTCCAAATGAAAGAGCGTTAACATCGCCCAGCCAAATTTACCAGGTGGGCCATGGGGCATCAATATGGTTATGACTTCCACCATCTTTGCAGTGGGAGTAGTTTTGTCCAACCTAGGATACAATTCACTTATTATTGTGCAGTGGTGATTCAGTCCTTCTTTGAATCCTTTTATTGACAGGATATCCACTCCCTCATGAAATAAGCCCATTCCCTTTTGAACACCTCTTATAATTAGGAAGTGTCTTTTCTCTGTTCCTTCTTCCTCTACCCTCCTAGCCCTTCCTTCTACTCCTCCTCCTTCCTCCTTTCTTTTTCCCTTCCCTCTTCTTCTTTCTGCCCTGCCCCTCTTTTCTTGTCCCCTCCCGGGTCCTGCCAGCTCTGAGAACATGAGGTCCTGTTCCCCACTCCCTCTGCCCCACCCAGAAGGCACTATCCAGTCACTGACCATAACCTTGTAGAGCACAGTAGGTCTTGAGTGCAGCCACTTGGACGGCTGATTGGGAACTCAGCCTCCGATGGTCCTAACAACCCTTTGGGTTTTGCAGGATCTTTGGGAAGCAAAACCTTTTACCTAGGACTTATGACTTAGCCTTCTGGTCCATTAGTATCATCCATCAGTTCACCCGATTTCCATTAATAACCGCATCTAGAACCACAAGAAACTTGAAATGGGTTGATCTGCTGTCTTGAGGCCCAGCTGGGAGGGTATGCCAGCCAAAGAGAGGGCTGGGGCGCCCGGGGTGACGGTCGGGAGGTGAAGCACACAAGCAGCCCATAAGGTTGGGATCCTCCGCCTCCAAGTAGCGCGACTAGAGCTCTTCCACGCACCGAGCAGCCTCGGACAGCGCGGCCGCTTTAAGAGAGGGGCGGGGCCCGGGTACAGGCAAGTCAGGGCCAGCCCACAAGGCTCCTTTTCCTTTTTGATCCATTCAAAAATTACTCATTGCAAATTCCCGGACTGCTAGGCGAGGAGAGGGAAGGGGGTGGAGGAGACAGGGCTACTGCAGGCGCAGCGCTGGGGGCAGCCGGGGGCCCGAGTGGCTAAGGCTGGTCCCGCAGCGGCCGCTCGCCGGCGTTCTGGCTCCTGTGGCCTCACCAGGAAGCGTCAGAGTCTCGACACTGGGGAAGCTCGGAGCGCCGCCTCCGCCGCCGCCGCCTCCTGCCTGGCTCTGGGTCCCCGAGCCCCCTCCTCTGGCCGAGCCCGACTCCCTCCTCCTTCCCGGACCATCCGGCTCGGGCTCCTTCCCTGGCGATGGCTGGCCGCTGAGCCATGGCTCAGTACGGCCATCCCAGTCCGCTCGGCATGGCTGCGAGAGAGGAGCTGTACAGCAAAGTCACCCCCCGGAGGAACCGCCAGCAGCGCCCCGGCACCATCAAGCATGGATCGGCGCTGGACGTGCTCCTCTCCATGGGGTTCCCCAGAGCCCGCGCGTAAGTGGCCGGGCTCGCAGCCCTCGGCGACCACTCCCGCGCGCGCGGCCGGCCCTCGGCTTCGCTCCGGCTCGCCTCCCAGCGCCTGCGGGACAGGCGGCGCGCTCCCCGCTGCCCGAGACCTGTTGGGGGCAGGATGGGCGCGCTGGCAGCCCGGGACTCGGCTCCGGGCGGGGGTGCCGGGGAAGACGCGGCGTGGGGGCATTGGGCCGGGGCCTGCCGTGGGATGCCTAAAGCTGTGGGACGAGGGCGCGGGGTTCGAGTCCCGGGTACTATGCCCAGCCTCCGGGCCCCGCGGGTGGAGCTCAGCGTTTCTCTCGCGCGCTCCCCTAGGTCTCCAGCGCCGAGCGCCTAAGGAGGCGGGGCCCTGCGGAAGACTCGGGCACCCTTTCCGCCTGGAATACTGGGCTGGCCTGGGATCCTCTGGTGTCTGGGAAAGGGCGAGAGACTGCGGGGCAGGGAGGCCGGCGCCCCCGTTGCAGCGACTTCCAGCTCCGGATGTCGCTCTCGGGTTCGGTCTCCCCCTGGAGTAGGAGGAGCGGGAGCGTGGGTGTTGCTGCGTGTTCATTGATGGGGAGGATGGAATGAGAAGGAGAAGCGATCCCTCCAGAGAACCTGGGTTCTCGTCAGTGGTGACGGCAGCTCAGAAATCTGTGGGTGCCTGAGAGTAAGGAGGGGGAGCTGTTCTCCTTCATCCTTGCTCTAGGAGAGTGGGGTAGGGAAGGGCAGGGAGAGAGCAGGTGGCTGCCCCTGGAGCCTGCTGGGGAGAGGCCTCTTTGCCAGCATAGGGCGGCGGCGGCCGGAGTCGTCTTAAGCCGGTCGGCTCAAGTCTCAGGGGCTGGAACTCTGCCTAAGAGGAAGCCAAGGCCCAGAGGCCAGGCCCTTCCCTGGTTAATCCCTGGCGTGCAGATTTCTTAGGTGAGGACACAAGGCCTGGGGTCCGGACTGGGCGCAGCTTCTTTTCATCTTTGAATTACATCACCTAAACAGGAGAGTTGGGCAAACTTTATCAGCAAGGGCCAAGTAAATGAAAGCGCTTTTTATTTTTTCCCTTCTCACATTTTTTTTTTCAGGTGATAACTTCATTTATTTATTTATTTATTTATTTATTTGAGATGGAGTCTCGCTGTGTCGCCAGGCTGGAGTGCAGTGGCGCGACGTCTGTAACCTCCGCCTCCCAGGTTCAAGCGATTCTCCAACCTTAGCCCCCTGAGTGGCTGGGACCACAGGCGTGTGCCACCACGCCCGGCTAATTTTTGTATTTTTAGAAGAGATGGAGTTCCGCCATGTTGGCCAGGCTGGTCAGGCTCAGGTGATCCACCCACCTCGGCCTCCCAAAGTGCTGGGATTACAGGCGATAACTTTAGGTCTCCCCTCCCCTCCCGTGTCCCTGGGCAAACCTTGTTTATTCTTTACTAACTTGGTTGTAATCTCTTAATCAAAGTAGACCCTTGAATTTGTTATTCTCCAGGCTGCTGGGACACGTTGGAGTGACCTTAGAAGGCCGTAAAATGGACTGATGGTTTCTGCCTTCCACTGACTTCCTAATACAACTTCCTAATACTAGGGCCCCAGTTCCTGATACCAGAATTACAGGGAGAAAATGTGGGTTCTGCAGGGGTGTGTCAGGTGTGGACGCTTCAGGTGAAGTCATCAGTATAGATGATCAATGTGCATAGCTCTCCTTAAAAACTGGAGGTGGGGCTGGATGTAATCCCAGCACTTTGGGAGGCTGAGGCAGCCAGATCACTTGAGGACAGGAGTTCGAGACCAGCCTGGCAACATGGTGAAACCCTGTCTTTACTAAAAATACAAAAATTAGCTGGGTGGGGTGGTGCATGCATGTAATCCCAGCTTCTTGGGAGGCTGAGATAAGAGAATCACTTGAGCCCGGTAGGTGGAGGTTGTAGTGAGCCAAGATGGCGCCACAGCACTCTAGCCTGGGTAACAGAGCGAGACTTCATCTCAAAAAAAAAAAAAAAAAAAAACTGGAGGTGGGAGTGGGGAAGTCAGCTGGGGAATGCTGCAGAATTAGCAGAGTCTCAGGCTACTGCCTTTTTTGAAATGAGGCCAGCATTAAAAACCTAAATTGCTTAATTAAGGGAAGAAATACTTAACTGAACTCCTCAGACAGTCATATTTGAGATTCAAATCAGCTTTAAAGGGACATCTTTTCTCTTGCACTGAGTCCGGGAGGTCTTGCCATGTCTTGACAGATTAGCATAAGGGTCTAATTTTGGCTTGCTCAACCCCTGAGATCTCCTAATAGCTAGCATGTATTCAATACTTATTCTATACTGTTCTAAGTACTTATATCTTTATTACCCATTTTATCCTCCTAGCAACTCAATGAGGAAGGTACCACATGCCCATTTTATGAATTGGGCAACTGAGGTGTAGAAGGGTTGCATAACTTACTCAAGGTCACAACAGTAAGCAGTGAAGCTGGGATTCAAACCCAGGTATTCTATCTGCACAGCCCAGGCCTCACACCATCTAGGGCCAGTAGGGCCAGGATAGAAATGATTTTATGTGGGTAAAATGCTTAGAACAGTTCCTGGCACATAGTGAGCAATCATGAAGTATTAGTTACTGTGTTAGCTTCCTGGGACTGCTGTAACAAATTGTCACAAACTGAGTGGCTTAGAACAGCAGAAATTTATTCTCTCATAATTGTAGAGACCAGGAGTTGAAAATCAGTATCGCTGGGCTAAAATCAAGGCATCAGCAGGGCCGTGCTCCCTCTGGAGGCTCTAGGGGAATCCACTCCTTGCCTCTCCTACCTTCTGGTGGGGGGCTGGCATTCTTTGGCTTGTGGCTGCATCAGTCTAATCACTGTGTTTGTGGTCAGATTGTCTTTGTTTTCTGTCTGTGTCCAATCTTCCTTGGCATGTCTCTTATAAGGATACATGTGGTTGTACTTAGGGCCCACTTGGATAATCCAGAGTAATCTCCCCATCTCAAGATCATTATCTGCAAAGTCTTTAAAAAAAAAAAAAAACATATAAGGTGGCATTCACAGCTTCTAGGGATTAAGATGTGGGTGTCTTTTGGGGGATCATTATTTAGCCTATCACGGCTACTATTATATTACTCCTAGCACCGCCCCTCTTTACCAAAGAGGTAACAAGAGTAGGCCTGGAAAGCGGGAGGTTGGGTTTGCTGCTCTTTTTCTTAAATTCTCTGCCCAGAAGGGAGTGAAGCTCTGGGAGGTCACCTGATCTAGTCGGACTCCTTGCTCAGGCTTGCTTGCCTCCTCTGCTTCAACCCAGAAAGGCTGATGCGGTCGGCCTTCCTCCTAATAACTTAGACCAGTATGAAAAGGGGCCATCGGAAGCTTCAGAGAGCAGGCATTTAACTTCATTTTGGAGAGTTGAGAAGAAAGAGCAAGGGCATGAGGCTTAGCTCATCAGAAGCTTCTCTCTTGAGCTTTATGCCTGGAGAGCTGAGCATAATGAAAATCCAAAGCCCCAAAGAGCAGTGATGGTCTCCTGGGTCCAGAAGACTTGGATGTGATGCTTTAAGAAGGGATAAGATGGTTGTCTCAAACCTGGCACTTTTGACAGACTGACATTAGCCAGGGCTGACTGCTCTAGGCCCTTTTGACAGAGTGACAGCAGCCAGGGCTGACAGCTCTAGTTTCCCCTGTGGGTATCACCGGGTCTGGTGGTGTGTGGCAGCAAGAAGGGGCACTCGGGCCAGGCTCTTGGTGGGCTGGCAGAGAGGGTTGAGGCCAGCAAGGCTGGATCCCACCCAGCCCATGCTGGGCTGCACTGTGCTGTGATCTTGCAAAAGTCACTTAGTCCCCTCAGGGCCATGCTGGTGCCCTCTGAGGAGAACGCAATTAATGACTGCATGCTTGTTAAGTGCTTGACAGAGCTAAGAGGACCAGAGGGCTGCAGGGCTGGCTCGAGCAGGGTGACCTCAGGGTGTGCTCTCTCCAGCTCATTACTCCCTGGAGCTGGGCTCGGTTTTTTCCATTCCACTCTATGAACTTCAGTCCAACTTAGAGACTGCTGTAGGAGAATCTGCCACATGGAGAAGGACTGAGAAGTGGCGATTTCACGGTGCGTGTGTGTGTGTGCTCGTGTGCAAGTCCAAGTTAAGGAGGTGTTAGGGAGGCATCAGGAAGGAAACCTTTCAAGGGTCAGAATGGCCAATCGCTTCCTTTTTTCTATGCCCACTAGCACTTCCCTGTTTTAAGAGTTCTAAAAATAAGGGTCCGGCTTCCTTGAGGCTAGTGAGGTTGGTTGAGGGGAAAAGAATGTATTGGGTGCAAAGACCTGAGGAAGAGGAGGCCTCAGAGGCCAGGAGAGGGTCTGAGCCTAGAGAAGATGGGGCAGAACTCAGATCAGGGCCATCACTTTGCACAGCTGGACCTGATACCAGCACTAACATCCCCCTGCTGACCTCTGGTTTCTGGGGAGACAGGCTCTCATCTCTTCTGTAGCTTGGGGCTGATGCTGGGCCTTGTAGCAAGTCACTGAATAATCGAATTGGAGGAATCCTTGCTGATACAACCCTGATCAGTTTTTTTTGTTTGTTTGTTTTTTGTTTTTTGTTTTTTTGAGGCTGCCGGTGGCTGGAACTTTGTCTACAGCAAATGGCTTTCTAATGTTTTCAATGATTGAGAGATAATAGTCTTGGGAGGGACACTGTGGCAGGGGTCAAAGATTCTAAGGTCTGGTCTAGCTCCTGAATGACATCTGCACATTTTAGGTCTTCTATTTAACCTCTTTTCCTTAATGTCTTCACCAACTTCTGTGCATGGCAAGACTTGTCATGTGTCATCGGTCTTTGCAAAGACAAAATGAGATAACGGACAGAAAAGAACTTGGGAAAGTTAAAAATAGGATCAGGATGCAGGATGTGATTGTGGCATTATTGTGTTGGATTGGAAGAAGGGAGAGGAGGTGAGATGGTGGTTGAGGTGTCTGGCGAGGATTTACATGTATTACTGGACTGTCCTTTTTTTTTTCTACTGAGAATATTTGAACAAT